TTTTTTTATATTATGGGTTTTTAACCAAATTTAAAGTCCAAATTACCATTAATTAATTCACATAAGTGCATTTAAGATATAAAATGCCAAAAAAACAAAATTAAATCTGAGAATATATGTTATTTATAGTAAAATAGAACAATAAATGGAAATGAAATGTTACATTGAATTAATTTGGAGGGGGCAAACAATGATATTGTTTATCTATAAAGAAGAAATTAAACTTAAGATGGAAAATAGGGAAAGAAAATAAGATGGCTGGAATTGAAAATGGAAACGTGATGTAAAAGGAACTATGCACATGAGAAGACGTTAAGGGGGAAAAAACATGGGCAACACCTTGTTTCTAAAAGAAGTTAAAATATGTAAACAAAATAATTTTAAAAAACCTGATCGTCAGAGCTACGGATTCAGCCGAATCAATCCGAACCGGCTGAATCCCACCTCTGCTTAAATGAATCTTTTGCCATTGCAACTTCTGGTTTAAATGCAAGCGCTTCCACTCATGTTTCTACCTCTCCAAATTTATTTTCCCACTCTCTCACTCCTTCTAGACCTTCAAAGTATCCTGCAGTGCACCACACCTGGCCTAAATTCACCCGGAGGGAAATGAAAACCTTTTGCAAAAAACTCTCAATTAAAACAAAAAAAGCAGGGCCAGCCACGGAGATGTATTTTCCCCTGCTCATAAAAGGCGCTCTCTCCTAATTAAAATAATTGTGCCTGGCTAGCTCCCCGTTTATTCCATTAGCATATAAATAATGAGTGTGCCCTTTGAAGCTTGACCAGGCTGGAGATGACAAGAGAATGGAGCCTCCATTAAAAGAGGTAGAGGGAAGGGGAGAAGGGGGGGCAGAAGGGCAACAGGAAGCCAGAGAGAACAGCTGGATTCATAGAAACCTTCAAATCCTCCCCCCCTTCCCATTTTGAATTCATGAGAATCGCTGCAGGGCTCAATCATTCCACCAAGTTCATGCAGAACATTAAAATTTCAGATGCCAGGGCAGGCA